AGACATTATTTCATATTGTCAGATGCCAGAAGCAGAACTACTTATATGTGGCACAGATAGTCTGTGGGTTTGGCAATCAATAATAATGACATGAATTAAATGCCCACTTAGATCAGGAAAAATTCCCAGTGGTTATGCCAAAGAACTTAAAATGTCATATAAAACACCAATGTATTTTCAAGGTTTTAATTCTCTGATTACTGTAGTTAAGAACACACACACTCACTAGAAGCGCTGAAAGAGAGCAGCTAAATAATTAAGTCACGGGGAGATGATGAAGGCTGCAGCCTGGGAAAACCTTTCTGGCAGCGAGACAGGCTGACGCAAGAGCGGTATTTTAAGCAGCTCCCCACTGTCTCCGGGAGAATAAACAGCCATCCCCAAACTGCCTGCTTTAAGCAGGAACCATATATTCAGAAAGGCTGACAGATAATATCTTGAAAAATGAAGGATGTTTTAGGCTCTGGTTATCTAATATGTTAATTTTGATTTGGTTAATCCTCTTAGGTATTACCCCATACCGAGTATAGTTTGAAAATATACTCTACATATGTAATGGAGAGGAAGGCTGTCACCAGAGAAGGTCAGGAAGAGCAGAAGGATGTCTTTGGAGCTCATCTTGTTCTTGACTCAAGCCCCTCATTTAACTTACACCAGTCAGTGAATGTCTTAGGCCAGTGACCCTTGACTCCTTCACTACTATTCCTTGAAGGAGACCCTGGCATCATGGTGGATCCCAAGTCTACTCAGAGAAGTTATTCTGAGTGAACAGTTGCACGTCATTCCTCTCTTCTCTCCCATTTGGGACACATCACTGGACTCCAAGAGTACTATCTTTGAAAAGTGTATAATTAGTAGAAAATTACTTGCTACAAAATGCCGGGAATGACTAGCCTGTCTCCCATAACTGGGAACTGTGGGCTTAGTCTGAGTTTCAGTGTGATCAGGTAGGGAATTTGGTGATTTCTGTGGCCTTTTCAAAACACAGCTTTGGTAAGCGGACGTTCTCTCTCAAAGGGAGCCAGGTGGTTTCTCCTCAGGAATCCTAGTTCTTTCTTTAGGGATTAAACAAGACTAAACCCCTCTTCCTGCAGTAGCTGAGATATGAGGGTAACTACCTTGGGCACGGTCTACCAGCTCTCTCCACATTGCCAGCAGTTCTCACCCTCTCAGCCCCAATCACAATGGCAGCTTTTCTTTTCTCCCTCAAGACCTTGCCTTTCTTAAAACTTGAGGTTCGCTTTTAGGAATTCTATTTTTACTTAAAGGGTTTATTTCCATGCTTCTAGCCCCAGAGAATTTGTGACATGAACAAAGAATTTTCCAAGATGTTTTTCAGGTTGCAGAAAAAGACTCCATCCCCCTTGGCTGGGAATCTTGTATGATACTCGTGCGCAGTACAAGAGAAGAGCTGAAGATTCAGCTCACTAGTCTCTCTTCGAGAAGTTGTTGCTGCGCTAAGAAACCTGTGTTTGTCCTCTCTCTGGTGTCTTTTATGGGACATACCTCCCAGGACACCAAGTACTATGTCCTATTTGATATCTATTTTTATTCCCCTTTTTTCCCACCCAAATTGAAAGCTCCTTCAGGGATTGGGGTCTCATGAACACTCTGTGTTTCCAGTTCCCAGCACAATGTCTGGCACATAGAGGTATTTACATATTTTTCAAGTGAATTAATGAAGACAACTACATACCAAATCATCAAAACCTCCTCCATTCAGTATAACTATAGTATATAACTATAGTAACTGATGGAAATTTGAAAAGGAACCAGAAGTTCCTCAAATTCCAGAATCTTCTCTTAACAGCATCAATAACAAAAATCTGCAGCTTTATAAAGAGGAAACTTCCCAAAGATCTGGATCACAGAGAGAAATTTAGCCTCTATTGAATGAAACTGACGAGCAATGAAAACATTTACAGTTAAAATGAAAGCGACTCCATGCAAGGTACTTAAGAGAAAGCACAACGATTAAGGGCAAGGCTCTGCTGGAGACAGCCAGAGGCCTCAAGCATCAGCTAGGCAAGGGTGGGCTGAAGGCTGAGCCAGGCAGGGACGGCACTGCATCTCTGGAGCAGAGCAGATGAGGTTGAGATCAGAGAGAACTTCTAGGGACAGCCACCTCTCTCCCAGCAGTGCTGCTTACTAAAGACCTCTAATTTATTTCACATTGTTGGCTAATTGCACCTCTGAGAATACAACCAAACAAAACTTTCTCCACCTCAAACATTTGTCGAACAGAAACCCAACTGCAAACGGTTAGATGGTGATTCTTTGGTAGGCTTGGAAACATTGACCTAGAAGATTTTTCTGAGTACCTAACTTATTAAGATTCGAAATCCACAGCAAGTCTTTCATCAATGAATGCAGAAACAGTCTGTCTCCCAATGCACTCAGCACAAGGTGAGTACAAACTTTAGGAAAATCACAGAGAAGACAAAGGATGTGTACAATAAATTAAACAATTTCAATTTCTTCAACTGAACTCAAGGGGAAAATTTCAATTAAAAAAGATATTTGCTGAAATCTGAATTTATAGAGAAAACACAAATGCTGGACACACAGGTAGGCTCTTCAGTTAGAAGTCTACTTTATTATTACAGGAGTATCTATTTTTGAAACAAACACACCAGAGTCTTTTGATGAAATAGGGAACATAAATTCGACACTTTGTCTTCAGACTCTGAGGGAAGTCTGTGGATATTTGCCTAACGTGAAATGCTTGGCGAGATAGTCTCACTTTAATTAGTCTGTAGGACTGGCATGGATTTCATAGAAAACGAAATAAGTCTCCAAAGATCTAATTAGCTGCTCAGTGATTAAACCCCGTTCTCCTCATTTCCTTGGCTTTTTAGTTTCATTTAAGACACAGGAGCTGGTTTGCCTTAGCATTGCAGTCAGATACCTAGTTTATCAGCTTTAATCGGACAGATGTGCAATTCAAGATGAATGCTTTTGGTTTTTTTTGTCTTCTTGTTTCTCGAGACAGGGTTTCTCTGTAGCTTTGGAGCCTGTCCTGAAACTAGCTCTTGTAGACCAGGCTGGCCTCGAACTCACAGAGATCCACCTGCCTCTGCCTCCCGAGTGTTGGTATTAAAGGTGTGTGTTATCACCGTCCGGCCCTCAGGACTAACTCTTGACTCCTGTACATTTCAAATTCCTAACTCCATGTGTAGGCCTCTACAATGGCGTGGTATTTAGCCATGCAGCTTGCCATCAGTGCTCTCAAGAGCAATGAAGGGAGAGAGAGGCTAAGGAGAAAAAGCATGGACCCAGAGCTGGAGCAAATTAGCAGATCCGTGGATTCCTCGGGAAGAAGCAAAGCAGTCATCCTGAGGATGAGTGGGTGTCTAGAGACACGGACGTTGATGAGGGATGGGTAGGCTACCATTTCTACCACCATTAAAGATGGTATTAATCAGCTTTGGTTGAAGATCAAGAAGAAGCAGGAAATAAGGACAGGCTTTGACTCCATTTGGGGAGAGTGGTTGCCAGGTACTGGGTATGAGAAGTTAAATTCTCAGGCTTTTGGGCAAGACTGATATAGGAGATCAGCAATGGGCAACCACTAGCAAAGCCAAGGTAAAGAACTGAGGCAGAATGGCTGGTCAGACTGAAACTGTCCAGCTGTACTTCCCCAAACCTGGGCATTTTGACCTCGTCTTTTCAGGAACTCCATGTTCTCTCCTGTTTGCTTCTGTGTTCCTTCCTTTACTTGAAACATACTAGGTTCTCAGTGCCTGTTCGGTCTCCATGGTTACAGCAGAAGGTCATCAGAGTCTCCAGCCCAGCGCTTAGTTAGCCGTACCACAGTGTCATTCCGTATCTTCTCTGTCCTCCCTTCTACACTATGGATGCCACACATTTGGGAATCTTGTATATATCCTATGTCACAGACGGCAGAAGCAAGTAATTTTTAGTTTATCTGTAAACACATCAGGAGGAAAACTGAAAAGATAGGAAGCAGCCAGGAACACTGTCTTTCACTCATCAGAAATGCATCAAAGCACTCCACTGGAAAGGAGAGAGACTAATAAAGAGATGTGGCCCATAAAAAATCTTCTGAGAAGTCAAATCAGAATATAAAGAAAAATATTCTGTTATAATAGTGTGCAGAGGCAAAATATTAATAATGGTTTAGTGTACTTTCTGTGTATCCTGGGCTTATGACATCCTCTTTAAAACAGGGACTGTTTCTTCCAGAACCTCCCACAGTATTCTTTCCTCATTTCAACAAGCACTTATCCTCTTAACTCTCAACAGTTCGTGCTATGAACAACCTCAAAGTGAAAGAGAAAATACATCTAATATCGCAAGAGAAAGAGTCTGAATTCACCAACTCCAGCTTCACCTGCTGAGAACCTATAATGTTTCAGAGAGAATGCTAAATGATTTACTTGTCTTTAGCCAATAACAATCATTCTTAAATGAGCCTTAGTGTTCTCATTTACTGACATATGAAAATAGGAACTCCAAGAAAAAAAATAGACTTTTAAAATAGTGGTGGAGCAGAGTTTCGGCCAGGTCAACTGGACTCCCAAACAGCTCTCTCCTCACTATCCTGACCTGCCTCTTGCAGGAACCATTTTCAGAGAAAGGGCCACTGAAGTCAGAGACTCAAAGTCCTTCCATGGTTTGAGACGTCATTCTCCATTTTCTTTTCTTTGCTTTCCACCTTCACTCAAATTCAAGCACAGTCTACACACAGCACCCTAACTAGAAACTGATGACAAAAGCTCCCAGGAAAATTGCACCACACCCCTCTTCCTCACAGTGGTTCTGGTCTCTGGATGGACACAGTAAAGACAGGATGCTTTCCAGTTTCTATTTCAAAACACGCAGTGAAAGGAGTGGGACTTCTGTTGTTATTGCTGTTTTTTGTTTTGTTTTGTTTTGAGAAACAGAACATTTGGAGTCTCTAGTACAGAACAGCTTCACATTTTCTTCTTACAGGGAACAACTGGATGCCAAGGGAAGGCTAAGAATTGAAGACTCACCCGCTCCATCTCCTTGAAGTCATCGTCCAGCTTGGTGCCTTCAGCTCCCCCAACCTTCTCACTCACTTTCTGCAGAAGGTAACAACAAAAGGGAATCATTAGAAACAGTTTCTTTCCTTTACAAAAGATGTTAAAAGTTTCAGGCATTCTTAGAGACAGCACTTAATCGAACCTTGGAGCCATGCTCTGACCCGTAGGCAGTTCTGTTTTCAAAGCAGCATAGCATTAGCAAAATCCTACAGGTCATGCATCTGGTGGGTACTGGAGAAGGAATTCAAAGCCATGTCTTCTTATTTCAACTCCAGTGCTCATTCTATCATATAAATCACTTTACAACTACCTAATTGCTAACATTTTTTCTTTGTAAATCCTAAGGAACAGCAGCACCACAAGATAATCATTTCCCTCTGATAATGGATCTAAAATGCTCCTAGGTAGAAAATTGCTACTTGTTCAACCTGCTCCTCATGGGCTATTGAACAGATAATCACAAGCATCCATTTAACTATTATGAAGAAATGAGCCCAGATGATTCCAGATAAAAGGACTTGCTTTCTCCTCTCCATGTTTATATCCTCACAGTCGTGATGAGCTGTATCAAACTATGTTGAGGGATTTCCTTGCTACGCAATCACTTTCATTACTGTACATCTTACAATTATCAATTAACATACGCAAATTATCATAGTTCATATACAAAATTCATGTTAAGAAAAATGTCTATACTAATCTTTTCGAAATAATGATTCAGATTAAGGATAATAAAAATGCACGATGAGATCACAGAAAAAAAATGATTTCACCATTAAAGACAGGATTATTGACTTTTTTAAAAAAATACCCTAACTGTAAAGGCGGATAAATGTTTTTCCCCAAGACATCACTGTAGTATACAAAGTCCACCCACACAGATAATGAAGTATGAGTTCTAACTTCCTTCAAGAGTTGCTTGGCTGAGAGGGTTTTCAGAGGAGCCCGTGTGGTTTTCCTACAGCAAACTGTACAGCAATGTGAATTTTCTCAGTGAGCTTGGTTCAAGTTTCCTAAAGCGGCTTCTGGAGACATAGCTCCAACTCCTGGACCTGAAAGTCCTAGCCGTCTCTTGCTGGTCCCTGAAGTGTGTTTCTTACGTTTTCTTTCTCTCTGTCCTTCTCTAGGTTCTACCAAGAGGAAAACATTCCGAAGAGACTACCTTTACTGCACGTAAGATAGCACTATTTGCTGCACCAGCAGTAACAGACGGAGTACAGTGTAGGATAGAATATTCCCAGATGAGGTACACGGAGGTGTCATGAAAATTATGTGGTATAATAAGAAACGACATCTGAACCTACAATTTATGTGACAAACTCTACTCTCTAATAAAGTGCACACCTGCTTCTAGCACTCTGGTTTCTTACAGCAGTTTATTGAACTTTCTTTCATTCCACACTCTGAGAAGCCAAAATTTTCCTTAATGTGATCACAGATAGATAAAGATCAATGATTTAAATGGAAAGATTAATAAAAATAATATCAATAAGTTTGTGTTACTGTCACATTTCTTAAGGGACAGTAATTTAGTTCATATTTCAGCCCTTCTATCTTATGTTCAAAATATATAGCTGATCACTACTTTTGGGCAAGCAAACTCTAATCAACTTGAAGACATAAACAATAAATAAATATTTGTTGGACAACTATAATTTGCCATTATATTCAATACAACTCTCTCCAATGTTAGAAAACCTCACTATGCCCAAAGTCTCATGTTGTCAGAGAATTATAATAATTGGACTCCTCATGTGACCTGTAACTGAGGTCACAGGTCCTCATTTATTTGCAAATAAATAGACACCAAAAACATGTACCTAAGAAATACCTCTATGTGTATTAAAATGAGAGAATTCTGATACTGAGGAAATAATCCAGTTTTGCTTAACTCTTTAAAATATACATAGTATTCATGCAAACCATAAGAATTCATATTACACTTTAAAAAACATATTGTGCAACTAAGAGCTGGCTTTGTTTCCCTTCTTTCTGTATCCATCAATTGCCAAGCACCACAGTAGCTGACTTTAGATATCAAATGGGAAACGGAGGTCATGCTAGTGATTGGTAACTCATATTGACTCCAGCCCACTAGTCTAGGCTTCAGATATTTTATTTACAAAGCCTGCACAAAAGTGGGTGGAGAAGGAAAGAGGATACAGCTAGACTAGGGTCAGAAAAGTTATTACATTTTCTACCAATGCTGACATTTAGGCTTCTTTGAGATGGTTTGCCACACAAAGTGAATGAAGCTAGCACATTCATATTGATGTTGTATTAATCGGCTGGTTGATAGACAGCTTTCTTGTTAAGCTACATTCCTGAGAGGGAAGCACTATTCAAAATAACTTCCACATTCTCTTTGATATTTTTCCAGGTCACAAAGGATCTAAACATATCATGGCACAGAGGTAAACACTGAGCTACTTAAATAACAACTCATTCCATTGGAATATGGCAAATAACTCCTTTTGTTTTTAATAAATGCTATAAAAAATGAACATCTCATGAATAAGAACCAAGGTAAGGAAATAAATCTCTTGAGCTGACATGGCCAATGATGAAGGCTTTTGGCTTCATCACCAGCTAATTATTTATTTTGTGCTATAATTTTTCACAGAAGTGGATCCTAAAATGAAAATATAACAATAGTATATATTTAGTATTTGTGATATTATTTAATATTCTAGTCATTTGAAAACTTGCTCGCTCATTTAAATAAACTAAAAAAAACCCTATTGATTTAAACAGAATAGTATAAGACGGTAGACAGAAGTTTCTGTCCCACCTGGTCCTACAGCCATTCAGTCCAAAAGAAACACACAGAGGCTTATATTAATTATTAACTGTTTGGCCTATTAGCTCAGGCTTATGATTAACTAGCTCTTACAACTAAAATTAATCCATAATTATTGTCTACGTTTAACCATGTGGCTTGGTAACTTTTGTCAGTAAGGTATTTTCACCTTGCTTCTTCTGTGTCTGGAAGACAACTGCATCTCTACCTTTTCTCTTCCCAAAATTCTAGTCTTGTTGCCCTGCCTATACTTCTTGCCTGGCTACTGGTCAATCAGCACATTATTAAACCAATATGCGTGACAAATATTTACAGTGTACAAGACACTATAAATCCCACAGCACAAGACATTCAACATTCTATTTGTAACAGTTACAAACCTAAAAGAAAAATTAACTACAACTCTCCAATGTCGTCTAAAAAAACCTATAACATCAAGCATTCAAGATGGTCAATGGTACCCCTTTGGCATAACAGGGAGTTTGTATTTCTAATTGCCTCTGTCACTATACCTCCCTTAATACTATCTTCCAACCAATCAATAATATTTTAAATTAAAAAATTCAAACCAATTATCATCCTTCTCTCACATACTCTTGATTAGAATCCCTAAGAAAAACTTAATAAAGATTTGCCAAAGTGAGATGCAATGTGAATTCTGCAGTGAACATGAGAGAGGCAAATAAGACTGATGATTCTTGGCTGTCTTTCAGGAAGCATAGCCTTCCAAGAACAACAACAGTCAGGTCTAGTTTACATCTAATTCTTCATTCTGACTCTGCACAGTCTCAGGCTGTTGTCTATCTGCTACGTAAGCATAATGTGAAGGTTAATCAGCCACAGGAGACATCTTCAATAAATAACTGCTGTCCCTAGTCCAAAGGATGCTGACCTGCTTTGCAGCAATGACTCATCAGCCCTCTGGCCACCTGTCATCTCCAGGCTCCATCTTCTTGATGCAACTTTGATCTTGGCCAGCACTACATTTTATTTACCAAACATGTAAGAACCAGCTATCTATTGCCATAAAGATGCACACTGGTCTATAGACTTCTACACCTCTTATTGAGGTCCTAACTTCTCTGTTTACTTCTATTTTTGTTCAGCTTTACCCCCCCCAATATTATAGGATATTTGATCACACTGTGAACCCTGATATTGTGTTATTTACTGGGGAAAACCTGTTTCTAGTTGTGGTGTGACTCAATACTAGCACACCTCTTTAATCCAAGAACTTTCTGCTTGGATATTGTAAACAGGATTAAATAAATTCAATCATAGGTTAAGAGGTAGAACAAGCAACCAGTTGACAAGAAGTAGTCATATAGAGTAGAAGGATGGCTGGACACACACAGGAAGTAGAAGGGAGGGACGTTCACTTTGAGGATGATGTAGATATTTGAGATGGCGTAGGAGGAATGTTGGCGGAAGAGGAAGGTCAGCTGGGTATTTTCTCTCCCTCTCTATCAGGTCTTCCCTCCAGAATCTGGCTCCTGAGTTTTTATTAGTAAAATTGAACAATTGAAATTTAGTAAAAAAAAAAAAAAATATTCCACTGTCTGTCATACAAAGACAAGTTTCTTTGCCATATACCAAACATGCTGTGTTGATTTCTTCTGCTTTATAACTTGTACCTATTTCCTTTTCTGCTCTTCAAATCCCATATATTATTTAAAAAGTCCACTCGTACACCTAACTTCCCACTCTCAGTGACTGCTCAAGGGGTCAGGCTTCTTTGGGATTGTTCATGAGACTCATCAGCCATCAGAGTGCCTGGAACTGTTTCATTAGCACAACTGCACAGGGCTTCTGCTCTGTTGAACTGTAAGATGGAAAATGGAGAACTCATACTGCATGTGTTTTACTTAGAAAGTCTGACTCCTCAGTGAGGAACATAATGATCAGAGAAAGATTGCCCTGATAAGATATACTAACGGAAGACAAGCAAGTCAGCACTGGCTCTGAAGCTCTATGAATTAGAGACAGCTTCTAAATATATTTTGTCTCTATATGGGATAGATTTTAAAAATCAGAAACTTCAAACAACTAATACGTATGCTATTTTCACTGGATAGAGATTTCAGAACTTACAAGGTGACCTCTCAGTTTCAAAAATGGCAAATGCATAATATTTTTGCCTCAGTTTCTTCGCTTAAGAAGTGGTACCAACATCACTCAGTGCTAGGTCATTTTGCAATTAAACCAGATTGTATGTGGAAGAGAATGCTTCCACACGTTA